ATCTCCCGCGTGGTCGGCGTCGACGTAGCCGAGTAGCTATACGGACGATGGCGTTACTTTGTTGTAGGTAAGTTCGGTCGTCGGCGTAGAGACGAAGTAGAGCAGTGCCCAATTTAGTTCCTCGAGATCCTCTTGCTCCGGCTGCTTCAGGTGTGTCGCCAGTTGGCTCGCGCTGTAGGACAGATCCGGTCAGCAGGTTACTGCTGCGAACAGTAGACAGCCGAGCTTCTGTTGATATTCCTGAATTTGCTTCGCGGGGAGCTTTGCGGAGGTTTCGTTCTTGTTCCCGTAGCGATAGGGAGTCGCGACTGCGACTCGCGTTAGGCCGAATTTCTTCGCAACAATGCCTGCATCTTTTCCGACGTATAGGTGGAACGCCGAGTCGTCTTTGACGATGTTTAGACCTAGGTACTGGCTCACGCTGTCTGACACCGTGAGTGTTAAGTCACTCCTCAGCTCCCCTTCGAACCAAGTGGCGACGTCGGTAGTGGAGCCGACGTAGAGTAGGTTATCGACGTAGACGATGAGTAGGACGACGTTCCCCCCCTTTTGTAGTCGGTACATGCCTTGATCATTCGGCAGCTGCAGAAAACCGATCCTTACGAGGCGGTCGTGAAGGTGCTGCTGCCAGAGCCGCGGGGCTTGTTTAATTTCGTAGAGGGATTTTACCAGCTGGCATACTTTTGTGGGATCGTCGATGAATCCGTGCGGCTACTCGACGAAGATTTCAGCGTCCACAGGTGCGTACAGGAAGGCGTTGGCGACATCAATCTGGCGCAGTGGTAGCTTTTTCGTGGCCGCGACGGCGGGCAGAATGCGTAGGGAAGTATGTCGGGAGACTGGGGCGAATGTCTCCGAGTAGTCGGTTCCGTTTCGCTGGTCGAATCCTCGTACGACCCAGCGAGCCTTGAAGCGGTCGATGGAGCCATCCGCATTAGTCTTGATGCGGTACACCCATTTCCCCGAGAGCACATTATTCCCGTTGGTTTTTGTTGCAGGTACCAGCTTCCACGTATTTCGGTCTTGCAGGGCCTTCAGTTGCTTTTCCATTGCTTCCTTCCATTTCGCCTTGTGTTCCCCCTCGAAGCCGTCGGTGGGGTCTTCTATGTTGGCGTTGTTGTCCAGGTAATGCTGCAGTGTCAGTCGCTCGTAGAAAATCACATCACGTGAGGTCACGTTGCTTTTGTCATGAATGCCGAGAAGTTTCCATGCCTGGAAATGTTTTGCGATGCCGAGGTGTAGTCCACACCGTGCTCGTTGAGAGAATCATCCTGCTTGGGTTGTGTGAGGTCTAAACTGTACCATACAGCCGAAGACTCGAAGTAATTTTGTGCTGCCCTGTTTTCCTGTCCACAGCAGGTGCGGTGATGCGTTGTTGGGAAGTGACGTTGAGGACAGCAAATTGTGCAGGTGGACTGCATGCGTCATCGCGTCAGGCCAAAGCGTGTTGGGCAGTCTCATCCCCAGGAGCAGCTTTCGCATCGTCGTCTGCAAGGTTCTGTTCATCCTCTCTGCGACCCCCTTCTGCTGGTGAGCGTAGGGCAGAGACACGAGGCCTCTGATGCATCTTTCTGCCAAGTAGTTCCTGAATCGTTGTGACTGGTGCTGCAGTGCCCCGTCTGACTGGAAACTCTTGAGTTGCGAGCCCGATTCTCGATCAGCGATGGAGAGCCACGTCGTGAAGGCTTCGAACGCTTGATCTCGTGTCTTGAGGTTGTCGTGCTAGACGTATCGTGTTGCCGCGTCGATGAACGTGATGACATAGTTGTAGTCTGCTTCAGTGTCGCCTCGAGGCATATTTAAGATGTCGCTGTAGACTTTTTCCATCGGTTCGTATGCAGGTGCACTTGGATTGTGGTGCGACGGGAAAGGTTGGTGGGGAAGATCAGCTTCGGGGCACGTGAAGCATCGTGCGCAGGATCGTCTAAGCTCATGGCCGCTCGTTGTGAGAAGAGCGTCTTTTTCTAATACTCCGGCTTGTATGGTTTGTAGTACTGTGCTGTTTGCAGGGTGCCCGAGGCGTTGATGCCAAATGTCGTCGGGAGCGCGTTGGCCGGGTGAGCGCTAGTACACGTCGGCGTTCGAGAAGAATGCGACGACCGTGGCGGGACTGCGGCAGACTCCGGTGATGGGCGTGAGTTGATCTGCTTCGGATGGTGGCCCTCGGATTGCTGGTGATGGCATACGGCTAGGTCCTGCTGCTGCTACTGTTGGAGGAGGGATGTTTGCTGGTACTTGTCGTTCTTGGTGGATGACTGCTAAAGCTCGTGTTCGTTCTGCTGCAGGGATGGTGTTGGAGTGCCAGAAGCCATCTGGGGTAAAGGCGGGGTCAAGATCCGGCGAGTGCGTCCAGGCGGCGAACGACACGATGCCATCGCTGTCGGCAGTACCGCAGTCGGGGACAAAATCCAGCACGAACACGCCAGACTTCAGGAGAGCGCGACCGATGAAGAGGCCGCCCTTCCCGTGGTAGAGACGAAAATCGTTGTCGTCCGAATCGCATTCCAGGGGAATACCCTTCACCATTAACTGGCTTACGCTTAGTAGATTGTATCCCAAGTTGTCGACGATGAGAACCTTGTTAAGTTGTAGTATGACGTTTGTCTTCATTGACTGAAGTTGAACGACGCCTTATCTGTTTGTTTTCAGGTTCTCGTTGTTGGCGACGGTGATGATGACATCGCAGTTGAGGCGTCGCTCTCGTTGCACGAAGCGCCCGGAAGAATACATATGTTGGCCGCAGCAGCTGTCCAAGAACCAGGTGTTTCGCCCGGTGGGTTCGGCGTTGGCGACTGCAGCGTACGTCGGGTTGACATGGAGACCGTGTGAGTGTGGCAGTGGCAGTTCGTCTTTGTCTGGAGCGTAAGTGGGCGGTGATCTGGGTGTGCAGTTGTCGATATGCACCATGCAGTTAATGATGTCCGGTGCGCCTTGTGCAGGTGTAGAGGAGCGACTCGGCGGATTCTCTTGAGTGGAGGCGACTTGCGGGTCTGCTAGACGATAAACTCGAGGGCGTGTGCAGTCAACTTTGGAGTGCCCGGATGTCTGACAGTTGTGGCAGAATGGCGGCACGATGGTGAGTCCTCTGGTGTCGTGTCGGGTGTGCTTATCACGTCGGTTGTAGTTGTTGTCGTTTCTTCGATGAGTATAGAAGACTAATGATTGCTGCTTGTTTCTTGGTTGTCTTTCTTCAAACAGGTCCATCTCCTGTTGTTCGGCATGAAGCTCGGCGCAGAGATGCATCTCGAAAATTCGCCCGTGGGCGCGAAGGAGCGAGCGGGTGGTTCTCCATTCTGGTCCGAGCCTGGCGAGAACAAGTGTCACGAAACTTTCCTCAGTGATTGTACCTCCGTACCGAAGCAGGCGGTCGTGGAGTGTCTGGCAGCGACTCATATACTGCATCGCCTTTTCCTCGGTCTTCATTTGTATTGTTGTCAACTGTTGCATGAGTCTGCTTTGTGTCATCCTGTCGTTTGCTTGATAGAGACACTTCATATGATGCCAGGTGAGTTCCGCGGAGTTTCCGTAGCTCCGATACGTTCTGATGCTCTGTTGATCTTGTGGTGACAGATTTTGCAGGAGAACTGTGTACGCCAGCAGGGACTGATAAGTAAAGATTTCGTGCTCCTTTGCAGTGCCATTGCTTGGAAATGGCAAGTACTCGTTGAAGTATCCTAAGAGGTGCGCGGCCTCCATCAGCAGCTCGAACTCAAAACTCTAGGTAAAGAAGTCGTGCCCGTTGAACGATGAAGATGTCTGCAGTTTGATCACATGTGAAAACTGCGCCTGGAGACTTAATATCTCGTTTGGTGTCCGCTGTGATGCAGCTGCTGTCGGTTGAGCACGGGGCGGCATGAACTCGAACGTCCCTAGTGAAGAATGATAAGGCGCAAAGGTAGGCGCCTGATTGTGCCGCCCGAATGATGAGTTGTCGAGACTCATTGGTGCTAATCCCATATTCCCCCCGTTGCTCTGTGTTGAATGCGCATGTGTCCTTGTCTGCTACTGCTGGTCAAAGTGCGACATGAAGCTGAAGAACCTTTCCATAAGGTTTGGATCCACGCTTGAAGAGGGTGAAGGGGTCACCATTTCTGGTACCCTTCTTGTTGTTTCTTGAGCAGCGCCGGTCTCAGTTTGTAGTCCTGAAGTGTGTAGTCCAGAGATGCTGGGTTGAGTGTCTTGGCCGCTGGGTGAGCCCGTAGAAGACTTCTTGCCCTTGTTGTCCATGACTTGTAATTGATTAAGTTCTGATGTGTTGACTATAGGTAGAGTGTCGTTGATGGGAGTTTGGTCTCTGACCAGCTCTGATACCATGTTGGGCTTGAGAAAATAGCCCTTAGGATCTTTCCAGAGACTAAGTCCACTTGTACAAAATACTTGAGTAGTGCAGCGGAAGTGTTGAGTAGTTGAACCCTTGCACTAGTATGTGAGAGCAAGTGATTGATCAAAAGAAGCAAGCATACAAGAATATATAGAGAATAGGAAATAGACCAGTTGTAGAATACAGTTGAAGAAACGGTTATCGAGTCGCACAGCAACGGTTACCATCCTTGCAGTCGCAACGGTTGGTCGCAACCTTCGGTTGCAACCCTTCGAGTCTCTTCGTCCTTTCGTGTTCTTTCGTCCAACCCCCTCGTGTAACCTCTGTTGACTCGCGTGCTCGATACGACATTTCTTCGAGTGTATTGTTACACTTTAGAAACGCTTAAGTCTTCGAGGTATTTCCAACAATGAGTAAATATCACATGCTAGTAGCATGGATAGTTTGAAATACCCCTTGCTCTTTAAGTATACTGTATTGAAGTATACTCTTCAAGTTTACTGGGTTTCGAGGGTTGATTTGTGCTCAAGTATACTCGAAATAGAGAAAAAATCTGAGAAATGAGCTGTATTAGATACTGGCATGGAGGAAATGTGGTTTTTTTTTTTTTTTTTTTTTTTTTTTTTTTCTAAATATTGATATGAGCTGGGTTGATCCATTTCACACAATAACGTCAACTTCTTAGAACGCTCCCCTGTTTTTGGCTCTACACCCCAGCGCGGCATTCTCGAGGGGAATGTTCCTGCTTCCTGCGCTAGCCATGCTGTAACGCGGATCGTCTCCTTCTGGGATCAGCTAGCATTCTGTTCAGCCTCACCAACCAAAAAGCTCTTGAGACCTGGTCAACAATCAGTTGTTCTGGTGGCTGCCATTCCTCGAAGGCTCCTTCTACCCTAGGCGTATTTCTGTTCACGACGACCATAGCCATCGGGGATAAGCAGGCATAAAGGACCGCTGTGCAGTTGTTGTGAAGGTTGGTGATGACTCGGGCTTTAATGACCGTCTGTAATTGGGGATCCTGAATGTTGGGGACGGTCAACGATCTCGTTATAGTCAAATCGGGAATGGATCATATTGACCAGCAGGGTCTATTTGGCAATCGCAGCTATCGTATCGGACGGCGCGAATGACAGGTGGAACTGGACGGCTCAGATTCGTCATTTATTCTGACATGGTTTGCCGATCCGCCAAGACAGTCAAATGGCAGCTATTATCAGGTGCAGCATGCAGCAGGTGCAGCAGCAGCTGGACCAGCAGGTGCTGTCTCATAAGCAGCCTCGATATCATGCATGGAAGCAAACGTGCGAACCCTAACAGTGGAGTTGAATGACACCTTCCTCTGGTGCTGCGCCCGCGATCCCTTCTCCCCCTTCTTCGCAAGCGACGACAGCATGGGAGATGAGCAGGAGAGCACGGACGACGATAAACTCCGAACGGGAAGAGACGCGCGTGTGAGAGCAGCTGCTGGGGATGAGGATGGGGATGAATCAGCGGGAGGTCGACGAGCAAGGGGGAGCATGATTCGCGCTGCATCTCTCTCGCAGGAGAGCACGGACGACGACACAGTCCTGATGGGGAGAGACGCGTGTGTGAGAGCAGCTCCTGCTGGGGATGGGGATGGGGATGAATCAGCACGATAAGGACGGGGGAGCAGCATGATTCGCGCATCTCTCTCGCAGAGAGCCGCAGCCTCCTGCAGCTGCTGCAGGTCGGAGCAGGAGGACGAGGTCCCCTTTTGAGTCGACTCAAAGGCCACTCCCTGCACCTGCTGCAGCTGCCGCGCCTGCTGCACTGCATGCAGCTCCTGCGGCTGCGGCTGCTGTACTGCCTGCACTCCTGGCAGCAGCTGCACTTCCTGCAGCTGCTGCAGCTGCTGCAGGTTGGAGCAGGAGGATGAGATCCCCCGAAGCGTGTTTCTCCTCTGCGGGCTTCCAGGGTGTTTGGAGGGTCCAGCTGCCGGCGACGAATCAGCACGAGGGGGCATGGCAGCTGTGAGGCGCATTGTGGGGGGAGCTGTGGGGGGAGCTGTAGGGGAAGCTGTGGGGGGAGACGTGGGGAGAGCTGGGGGGGGAGCTGTGGGGGGAGCTGGGGGGAGAGCTGGGGGGGGAGGTGCTTGCAGCTCCTGGAGGTCGGAGCACGAGGAGGAGGCCACCCGCAGTGCGCTGCCCCTGTGCAATCTACTAGCGTTCTTCCAAGACGATGAATCAGCGCGTGGAGAGATTGCCGCGGCTTGCTGATGCGCTGCGTGGAGAGGCGCCGCGGCTTGCAGCTGCTGCAGGTCGGAGCACGAGGAGACCCGTGCGGGCGACGACTCAGTATGGGGAGGAGTTGCCCCTGTGTGGTGGAGAGCTGCCTGGGGAGCTGCTTGCAGCTGCTTCAGGTGCTGCAGGTGCTGCAGGTGGTGGAGGTGGTGCAGGTCGGAGCACGAGGAGGACGAGACTATCCGCGGTGTGCCTCTCCTGTACAATCTCCTGTGGGGGTTCCCGAGGTTCTCTCTAAGAGGCGCTGATTGGCTGGCAGAGTCTGCTGCTTCTGGACTGGGAAGACTGGGAAGCGCGCAGGAGTAGATGGAGTACTCTGGTGAACTGCCCTGAGCTGTACTGTTGCCGATTGGAGAATCAGCCTTAGTGTTTTTATCATCAATCAAGGTCTTGATGCTGCCACTCAGCGTTCGAATCAGCGTCCTCGTGCCAGTGAAGATTCCACCTGCTCTTGACATCGTCCTTAACGGCGTTCTGTCTGCTCCCAGCGCAGGAGGCTGTTGAAAGGCGGGGTGGGTACAGGCACGAGTCTCGGGTGTCGACTCAAGAGACGAAGGAATAGAGAGCTTCAAAAAGGCATGTGGTTTGGGACCGCAAGGCCAACGAGTGGACAGCTCCTGCGCTGCATTTGCTTCAGTTCCCGCAATGCTAGCAGCAGCAGCAGCCGCCTGCAAGCTGTCAGTAAGTGACATGGACCGACACAACCCCCTTCTGCTGCTCCCCTCTGCTGCCGTCACCACGCCACGTGCCAGGCCTCTGGGGCTCGCAGCCTCCTCGCCACTTTCGCCCTCGTTTACTGCCGCAAAGCTGCTGCTCCACCCTTTGAGGCTTCGCCCTGACGCCAGCAGATGCCGCCAGGAGGCACCCCAGGTCGCCCTCGTACCGGACAGAGGTAGTATCTGGGGTAGTACCACTTGCTGACGTGGCGAAAAGTATCCAGCAGAAGACTCGCCTGCTGCAGGGCCACCGCCAAACATGGCGGTCCGTGTGGGTGGAGTGCTAGCAGCAGTCCAAGTAACTGGATTCGCCGAAGTGCTTGGAGTGCTTGGAGTGCTTGGAGTGCTCCGGCTGGTTGGAGTCGTGGGGCGGGCTTCTCTTAGATTAAGATTACTACCACCCGCCTCGCCTTCCCCGCGTCCCGGAGTAGCACAAGCCGTTTCCTGCGCCAGCAGCGCCCCCCACGCCTCGTCCATCTGCGCCTGCCGCGCCCTGGCCTCCGCCGCCCGCCGCTGGATCAGCTGCGCGTGCGGGCTGCGCACGGGCGTGGGGGACGACGGCTGCCACCCAGCCTGGGGGGTCGGGGACAAGGGTTGCCGCCCAGCCTCTGCAGGTCCAGCCACACCACTGGTGGGGGACGACAAGGGTTGCCGCATACTAGGCACGGGGGTGGGCGAAGACGGCTGGCACTTGCTCTTGGGCGCTGGTGCTGCTCCAGCCACACTTCGGGTTGACCGGGTGGGTGGCGATGGTTGCGTCTCAGGCACTGCTGCTCCAACCACTTCTCTGGTGGGCGGCGATGGTTGTAGCAGCTCAGGCACTGCGGCTCCAACCACTCCGCCTGCTGCGGGGGGGGACGTAACAACGCCCCTGTCGAGTCCAGGCGGGATTGCGGTAGGCGGGGAGGGAGCAGGGTGGGGGGAGAGGGAAGGGCCGGGGCAAAGCCGGGTGGAGGGGCTGGGGAGAGCGGTGTTCCTAGCAGACGGGCCCTGGCTTGCTGGTTGACTTTTCGGCAGGATGCCGCTGCTGCCTTGCATGCCGCTGCTGGCTTGCATGCCGCTGCTGCCTTGCGTTCCACCGCTGCCTTGCATGCCGGTAGCGTCAGTGGTAGTTACACGCCCAGTGCTGGATCGGCTGCATTAAGTGGTGGAATGGGGATGGGAAGTGGGGAGGGAGTGGGAGAATTGGAGAGTCGGTGAGGGTGGTTGGAGTGAGAGGGGGGGGGGAGGAGGAAGCAAGGGGAAAGGAGGAAGCTGGGAGCAGGAAGAGGGGCATGGCAGCAGGAAGCCTGGCAGTGCGGCGAATCACAGAAGTATCAAGCGGTGCGACATGGAGCCAAGCTCGCATCAGTCAGCTATCAGCCAGATATCATCAGTCAACGTGATGTTGCCAGGCGCAGCAAAATACGGCAAGAAACGAACCAGCAGTGGTTCGATCGAACTCAAAAGGTGGGACTACTACTATCTGCTATATAAAATCAGCAGATCAGATGAGCTAGGAGACAAGGAGGAGCGAGTGTGAAGGGCGCACCAGGAGATCTAAGAGCGTCTGTCAGTTCTCAGTGGAAGGGGCGATGCTGCTAATCCACTGGCAGCAGCTGGAGCAGCTTCTTCGAGTGTGGAGGATGACAAGGAACGTGAGAAGGATAAGCCTGTGAAAAAAGCCTAATAACACCGCTGTGAACGAGAATGGGCTTGCAAGAAAAACATGACAGTGACAAATTGAGGATTCGTGTGGTTGAGAGGAAGCTAGGCGGGGGATCCCAAAATTATCGGCGCCAAAATTCTCGGTGCTATTTTCAAATGTCAGGTTTCCCTTGGCAATTTGACCAATGTGGGTCTGGAGGGGAAGGAGGCTCTGACTGAAGGGTGATCTGCAAGCAAATTGAAACACGGCGTCACCTGCTGACTTCAGTCCACGCGGATGCGACCTGGTGTCCTCCTTCCTTTCCCCCCTTCCCACCAATGCACCAATGGTGCAAGCAAGGTTGAATTCCGGTTCCGTGTTGAAAGTTTCGGCATCAGTTTCGTGTCGTTTACGCTATTTGTTGGCTGCTATTGTCAGTTGGCTTGTTTGTGCCAATGCCTTCGGCGATATAGTACGTTAATGCATGCGGACGAGTCTGGCACCCCCAGTGACCTGGTTTGTCCGCAAGCGAAGCTGATTTCGAGATGCTGCTGCTGCTGATCCCCCCTCCCCTCCTCTGCCTGCCCAGCTCAGGCACACCGTTACTGTAAACCTACAAGGCGTACAGGCAGCAGCACCGTAAGCACGCAGGCCGTCCAATCAATCGCGCCCAATACTTCTGTGAGATCGAAGGGGAAGGAATAAGAGAAATCCACGTGGACGGAGAATCACTCTCACGCGCTGCCGTCGTTCTGATCTGGCCAGGCGTTACCACTCTGCTTGGTTGTTTGGGCGAATGGCACTGTACCGAATTGAGCACGTCAAACAAGGCGCAGCAGACAGGCAACCTTGTCTTGGCTGGAAGACTTTGAGAAGATACACTCCATGCGAGTAGCAAGATCTGGGCGGCCATAACTACAGTACAGTATTTCTTACCGATCGACAAGACACCCTCTTTTTGTTTCCCTCCACTGTACGGAGTGACCATTCCCGCTACCGTACTGTACTGCTTGTCTTGCTCAGAAAGAGTTTCCTTCATTTCTGAAACCCCTTGATCCCAGGCCCATTGAATCGAAGCCCCCACCCATAACTACGAGCTGTAAGAGCATGGCATGGCATGGGCTCTGAAACTCGGGTCTATTTTGCGTGACGCCGTGTCAGCCCCGCCTGTCAGGAAACCTTGTGTCAGATCTAGCCCCAGGAATCTAAGTCGAGGCCACTTTGCCTGGCCTGTCTGTTCTTCAATACGTCAAAGACCTGTCATCCGCAATTGACACCGCGCCAGAATCACCCTTGCACTTTGTGAATTGTCTTGTAGGAGCTGGGACTGGAATCACTTTCGTGTCGCTGTGTTACACAGAAACATAGATCTACAAGAAAAAACCTATGTCCATTTTATGGAGGTATGTTATGAATGATAACTCAGAGTATAGTGCAGAACACTTTAGGGGAACGTGATTACAGAGTGTCGATAGAAACGAGGCATAGGCAATATATAGGGCAATTGGCCATGGTTGAATATCGAGGGTTGTGTCAGAACTAAATTACTAACCACATAGTTAAAAAGGCTTGTTAATAGCGAGTCAGTGCGCCCATAGCCCCTGAGGCTTTGCACTTGTGGCCCTTCCCCGAGGATCTTCTCAAGGATAACCCCAGCGGGTCACTCAACAGGTTGGACCAGTCAAGGGCTCGGTAGTCCCGAGGGTGACGGGGTCAAAATGGGTTCGGGGCGACTCGGGATGAGGTTGGGCCGAATAGGTCGGCTGGGGGCTAGTTTGGCGCGTGACTTGAGGGCCAAGCCTGCGGACGCGAACTGTTCGCGTGTGCTCGCTATGGTGAGCCTCAGTAAGGAATCGTAATTCCTTACACTCTCCCACATTCTAAAGGAAGGCACTCTCTTTATCAAGACCGACCAGTCATTAAAAGTAATCCCCGATGTGACTGTAAGTCTTCAGCCCTGTGATGAGCGTAATGATTACGCCGGCCTGACGAGGTCTTGAGGTCGAACTGAAATCAAGGGCCAGCAAGCGTCGAAAAGATCGTGGTAGATCCTGATCATTGAACCTTGATGGGCGCAATGATGACGAGACCTCATGAGGTAAAACTATATCCAACGGCTGAGACATGTCGCAGCGATCGTAATCGATCGGGGTCGTTGAAGATTTATCGAATTCTTCAGCTGACCGACCGGGCAAGGGTCAGTTCTCCCAGCGAAAGAATATGAACAGTGAAATTGTCGATTGGTCGATTGATGATGGCGCGTGGCAGATGAATGATGACTGTCGAATAACATGATGGTCGATCATTTGAATAACCCGTTCACAAAAACGCGAGGTCGTTCGTGTCACATGCGAGAACACGCATCCGTGTCCCACGAAAGTCAGCGAACTCCATCAACGAAGTGAAGACATCAAGCGCGGAAGCGTAACCATGACGACTGATACTCGAAGATGAATGATGGAACACACTGAAGGGTCAAACGGAAAATTGCAGCACAACTATCCTTCTCCCCCCCTCCAAGAAGAAAACAACTACCAACTTCCTAGGTAAAATTGCACGAAACCCAATGCTCTAGGGTAGTGGAAATAATCCTACGCTGTTGCAAAAAAGTCTCACACCCAATTTCGAAGATGCCGGTGAAAAAACCCAACGATGATAACTCCAAAATCTGCTCCAAGTAAATTTCTTCATCGAGGTAAACCTATCACAGGGACTTTAAAAACAACGACAACTGCTCCAATAGATGCCAACAATACTGCTGCAAATCGTCCCTTTTCAGTACTGCTCCTGATGGGTGACGATGATGCGGCGGGGTCGTGTTCACACTGTCGGGCGAATCAGGCGAATTGAGAACGGAGGCGATAGCGGGTGGTGGCGAGACAAAGACGACGATGGCGATGAACCTGTCTTGAACTGATCATGAGAAAAACCTCGAACGGAAACCACGGATCGAATGGCGCCAGATGCATAAGCTTCTTCGTCCATACACACCGAAAATTTAGGGAAGAACCGAAACAGCTGCTGCGCTTCTCCTCCTCCATGCACCCAAAATATACAGAGAATATCGGTCGATGTCGCTCGTACCCCTGAAGATAGCGGACACAACTCCAGCTGTAAACTCTTGAATCCCTCTGTCTGACTACCTTCGTACCGCTCGTCCTCTTGTTCCTCGGGTCCTTGCCTCCCACGTTACTGACCCGTCCGTTCCTATCTCGAGTCTTGACGCTCTTGTCGCTGCTATCGCGGACTTCGCCTCTACCCGCCACCTTGACTACGCCATAGCTCTGGTCTCTGACCCTGTCTGTCCTCCGCCCGTTGAGGGTGCGTCTGCCCTTGGCAGAGACATCATAGAGGACAGGCAGTACGGACTTGCTTTCCTTTTTGAGGCTGCTCCCTATCTTTGTTCCATGCTGCTAGTCCCTGAGGGTGACCCAGACGCCTTTGACATCCCGACCCCTCGCACTTACGCTGAGTCGACTTCAGGACCCTGGGCCTCTCAGTGGATAGCTGCCATGGAGCAAGAGTTGACATCTTGGATATCCACCGGCACCTATGTCGACGCAGTTCTCCCACCCGGGGTGAACGTAGTCGATGGCGGGTGGCTCTTCAAAATGAAGTACCCCTGAAGAGCTGCCTGTGTTCAAGGCGCGCTACGTGGCTAGAGGCTTCCGTCAGCGCGAGGGTGTTGACTTGTTTCAGACCTTCGCCCCGACCTCGAATATGACTACTTGTCAGGCGCTGCTACACGTAGCAGCACATCGTGACTACGAGTTACACTTCATGGAATTCTCCACTGCTTCTCTTCAGGAAGTCTACACGAGCAGGTCTACCTCTGCCGTCCGCAGGGCTTTACCGGTACCTTCCCTCCAGGGACCCAGTGTCTCCTCCGGCGCCCGATCTACGTCCTGCAATAAGCGCCCCGTGAGTGGCAAGACATGCTACGTGCTACGCTAGCTGACCTGCAGTTCTTTCAACTCTACATCATTGTCTACGTAGACGACCTGGTCTTTGCTTCTGTAGACAAAGATGCACTGGCCTCCGTGAAGGCCAAGCTCCTGAGGAGACACGCCTTCAGTGACCTAGGAGAGCTGCGCCGCTACCTTGGCCTGCAGATCTCCACAGACAACGCAGCGCGCACCATCACTTTTACACAGTCACACTTGGTGCACTAGGTCCTTCAGAGGTTCGGTCTTCAGTTCTCCTCCACACAGCCCATACCTCTGCCAGTAGACCACCGGCTCTCAGAGGAATTAGTAGAGCCCAGTGGCCGTTACGCAGAGCTGGTGGGTTGTCTCATGTACCTGATGATTTGCACTCGTCAAGATCTCGCATACCCTCTCAGCATCCTGGCTCGCTTTGTGGTCACAGGCTGACACCGACCACAGCACTGGTCGGCCGTTAAGAGGGTTTTGCGTTATCTAGCAAGTACACCGGGCATGGGGCTAGTGCTTGGAGGACGCAGGCCAGTGGTCCTTACTGGGCACACAGACGCCTCTTGGGCAGACGACGTTGAGACCCTCAGGTCCTCCCAGGGCTACTGCTTTAGCCTTGGTTCGGGTGCCATCTCGTGGAGGTCCACTCGCTCTTTGTCTGTTGCACAGTCTAGCTATAAGGCTGAGATCTACGCCGATGCCATGGCGGCACAGGAGCTCCGCTCGCTGACCATCTTGCTCGCAGACTTAGGTGAGCGGCCTAGCTCTGCCCCGGTCGTGTATGCTAACAACAGGGTCATGATCCTACTGTGTCAGGAGCCTCGACTTGAGGGCAGAGTGAAGCACAACAGCTGCGGTACTTCCTCCTGCGTGAGTTTCACCAGCGACGCCAGGCCCGTGTAGTACACTTGGCCTCCGGTGCCAATACAGTCGATATGTTTACTAAGGCGCTTGCGCCTAAAGATCATCAGCGGCACTGCTTGCACCTTGGTCTAGTTCCTGTAGACTCTCACTTGCTAGGACCTTGATTGTGTACTCCTCTATCTATATAGACCTAACAGACTGGCCTTCTGGCTTCTCTTCTAGTGGCCGGACTAGTAGTGCCGCCCTGGTTGCTATTATCTTGTTTGTACTCTTGCTGACTGGTCTTAAGGCCCCTGCCTCAGAGGTTGGACTAGTAGTGCCACCCTGAGGTGCGTGTTTCTTGCTCTGCACTACTTTGGGTATGTGCACAAGAAGTTTAAAGTGGACTGAATAAGTTGAACGGTGGCCCCATGCAGTGTCCAAAATATAGTCAAGCTCTTATTGCTCTGTCTCTTTTATGTTATACACCCCTGTGTGACATTCTCGAGGCGATTCTTCCTCATCGTACAAACACCATACAGTGACGGAAACAATTGTCCGGATGTTTTGCATTAATGTTTTTGGGCTTTTCGACCACTGTACATAAAGTCTTAATGTTTAATGGTGGTACACTTTGGGAGGGGCACACAGTGGATGAGTTCACTGCACAAAATCCATGATAGTACACTGGATCTAACTTAGTGCCAAAAGATATACAAAGTGTACATCTGGACAATTATTTCCAAGGACAAAGAGCAAACTTCCGCGTAGCGTTTCTAGTACTTAGTCCACCAACACTTGGCCTTGATCACCACCTGCACCATCCTAGGCATGTTATCTACGATATTAGTGCAAAACTTTATAGGGATCTTCTCGCACTCTTCATAGACCCACCCTTTTGCATAAGCGGGTGAGCACTAGGAAAACCGCGATGTATTTGAGCGTATGCAATAGTTTTGTGCACGATTTCAGATTAAATGTTATCTCTGAGACTAGCCACGCTGAGGTGTGGCCAAAGATGTCAAAAATCGATTAGTCCCATCTTATCATGGATCATCTTCGCCGTACCGTTGTAGGGTAAAATTACGAGCAAAGTGGCGAAAACATGCGTGTCCGCCGCGAAACTTAGGGTAACATAGCACGGTCGAATGTGCACCCTTTCACTAATAGAATCACATTAAAATCTACAGGTCTCGTCACGGTGCAGCAGTCGAAGAAGCCCCGACTGGTGGGGAAGAATATCCGGTTTGAGATCTGGTGAGGATGAGGGTCACTTGAGTGCTATAAACTCATGCTCTCTAAGCCATTCCAAGCCTATGTGGGACACATGGCTTGGAATGGCTTGGAGAGTATGAGTATGTTGCGCTGGAGTGACCCTTTTCCTCACCAGATCTCAACCCGGATATTATTTCTGAACAGTCATGGATTCTTCGACTGTTGCACCGTGACGAGACCTACGGATCCTAGCGTGATTCTAGTAGTGCAAGGGTGCACAGTCCACCATGCTATGTTACCCTAAGTTTCGCGATAGATAAGCTAGTTTTCACCACTCTGCTCGTAATTTTACCCTACAACGGTAGACGAAGACGATCCGTGATAAGACGGAATCAATCGACTTATGGCATCTTTGGCCATACCTCCGCGTGGCTAGTCTGAGAGATAACATTTAGTAAAAAATCGTTCGCAATACTCTTGCATACGCTCAAATCCATCGCAATTTTCCTAGCGCTCACCCCCTGATGCAAAAGCATGGGTCCAGGAAGAAAGCGAGAAGATCCCTATAAAGGTTTGCACTAACCTCGTAGATAACACGCCTAGGATGGTGCAGGTGGTGATCAAGGCCAAGTGTTGGTGGACTAGGTACTAGAAACGCTGCGCGGAAGTTTGCTCTTTGTCTTGGGAAATAATTGTCCAGATGTACTCTTTGTATATATTTTGGCACTTAGTTAGATCCGGTGTACTATCATGGATTTTTGTGCTGTGAACACATCCACTACGTGCCCCTCCCAAAGCGTACCACCATTAAACATTAAGACTTTATGTACAGTGGTCGGAAAGCCCAAAACCCTAATTAATGCAAAACATCCGGACAATTGTTTCCGTCACTGTAGATGTAACGCGGATCTTCTCCTTACTAGTAGGCCTTAGTAAACAATAGCTCTATAAGGATGACATGATGACATTACTCTTTGGAGTCTTGGTACACTACTTTTCTGGTACAGAGATTAATGCGATAACATTAGCTCGACCGCTTCGCAATTCATTGTGAAGACGGCGGGTATGCCATTAGGTCCGTGACATTTTACTCCATATAATACTCCAATTTCGTAATTCGATAGGATCCACTACGATGTACTCCGTCTGTACGGTGTACATGTATTGTTAGTTTTCGCTAAAAAAACGCAATAAACATACTAGCCAGTCACGAGAGTCGCATAATGCCACCGACCATCGAGGCGCGCCTCCCGAATTGGGCACGATTACAGCATCCTAGCGTCGCCAACCAACCCGCGAGTTCGAGCTCGGAAAATCCCCATGAATTGTGTTGGATTGTGCCCAGCCAATACGCGCTTGGCAGGGCGATGCTACGTAATCACGACGGAACGTGGGGGCGAACACAAAATCACAAACTGCCCGCTAGTACCCACGTCCACCTGGCACCTGTGCATGCGCGCTGACAGGGGCATGCCTACGTATCCCCTCGGCAGATGAGGCCGACAGAGGTCGTATTTACAATCCGCCAGATCAGTTTCGACTCACGAACCCAACTTCATCGCCGAGCTCAACCGGCTTGTCACAATGAGGTTACTTAGACGGACAGCGCTGACGATTGCTATGAAGGTCGGAATCTGCCAACATGCTTAAACTCATGCTCACCTTCGACTCGGCGACCTCGCAAGGTGGTGTTTCACCAGATACGGTCTCTATCCCGACCCTAGCACCGTGGAGAAAATTCTAAAGGAGGCGGCCAAGTGGAAGGCTCTTGGGCCTTAGAGCTCCGCCAATCAACGCCTGCGTTCCGCGTTCTACCCACTGTTTGAGCAGCGCCTGAAGTCATGGTTGGGCAGGGCAGCAAAGGGTGGGCTGCCCATCACCATCGGTGTTATCCAACAACGTGCCCGGATTATGGCACCAGACGCTGGCGTTCCAGTCAGATTTAAAGCTAGCGTAGGGTGGGTGCAGAAAGCACTGAAGCGGATGGGTTATAAATGGCGGTGATGACGACGAAGAACACGTGCCCGCAGTTGCTCACTCTGCTCGCAGTTGCGCATCGCGACTGCTTCAACCATGACAAGACTGGATTCCCTTGGAACCAGATTCCAAAAAAGACTTTCGCAGACGGCCCTGTGAGTGGCGGAAAAAACATGAAGGACCGCATAACCATTACGCTAATGTGCAACGCCGATGGCTCGCAGATGTTCAAGCCCCTCATTGTGAGCAAAACCGCCAATCTGCGCTGCTTTGCTTGTAAGAAGTTCGACCCTACGACAAAGTGCATATGGCGCAGCAACGGTTCCGGCTAGATGACTAGCGTGGTAAGTGGCTCATACTTTCCCGTTCACATAATTTCTAAATTGCGCCTCTCATTTTTTGGTTGATCGGTTGTTGCTATTGCTTTCGTTGTCCAGTAGTTTTCTCAAATCTGAAAATCACACAGCTAATTTCGTATTTCTTGTTCATCGCAGTTATTTACTGAGTACATTGAGCACATCAACGCGTGCTGTTTCGCCAAAGGCCGCAGCGTCGTCATCCCGCTGGACAACGCGAGCTGTCACCACCTGCTGTCTCCGCTCGCCACATCAGCAGACATTTTAGGCTTCCGAACCCACGCGCTCAGCAACGTTTGTCTCGTATTTCTCCCGCCTAACACTACATGCTTCACGCAACCGCTGGACCAGCGCCTCATCGCGACACTTAAGGCTCGGTACCGCACGTTCCATACCCTTGACATGTTTCGCGAATGGGAAGAGTTTTAGAGCGAGGGAATGCTGTTGCAGTACAAGCCCGACATGGTGCTAGTCATAACCTGGCTCTCAGACTCGTGGTTCTCGATCGAGCTCGAGACAGTCCACAAGTGCTGGTGGCGGACGGGTATCCTACCTGCTAGCTGGCTCACAAGGCCCCCCCTGGTCGGCACCACAGCCGCTGAGCAGGAACATAACTTGCCCCCCGAGTTCCTGCCAGTCGCTGAGAATTTGTCACGGTTGCCCTGGGACGACGAGGACCGCATGGATGCGGTCCAGTTCGTTACGTGCGACAACGACGATGAGATATGCGACCCATGTGGCGAGGATCCTCTCGCTTTGGAACCTCTAGGCACCCCCACATGCGGCGCATGGTATCTCCGTGCCCCGGCAATTGCGCAGCCCGTTCATGATTCACGCAATCGCCGGCATCTCAGCCGCATGGCGACCGAGATGTTGGTCGGTTATGCGCGGTCCATCGGGCTCATCCGGAGGGACCCCTGCATTCTGTTCGACATTCAAGACCCGTCGGTCATTGATCGTCTCGAACGTGCCTCCCCTCGTTTGGACCCAAACTGTGCTCCAGGTGTTGTTACACAAGAGTACCGGCAGCATGTGCTGCAGGCGACGGCCGTCATGGACGGCTGGGTGGACTCGGCTGAGTGGATGTGTTGAGGGAGCACAGTGTTGCGCTGCCTGTCGTGTGTTTTGCGCTGCATTTCTTTTTGGGAGTGTGTAGAAATTTGCTGTTGGGAGCGTGTGTAACTTGTGTGATCGTTTTATTCTGCGGGTAGGTTGTGTGTTGTTTCTCGGTTGTGTTGTGTGCTTAGTCAGTAGTTGTGTCAGTGATGATGTGGCTTTTCGGGTTTATGAGGGTTGGTTTGGCTGTTTCGGTGTTCACGAAATGTTTTTTGTGTGTGTTGGACTCTGATTAATGACACTGGTTATGAAATCCTACGTGTCGCCTAGTAACACAGATTGTCGCAGCATCGGACAAGGCACCCTTATATGAACAGATAAACCAAACAAGTCTCTCCCCCCCCCATTTTCAATCGTTAGTCCATTTTGCCCCTACCGTACGGGCCCTATTCGACTAAGTCGATATCTGCTAGTCGCAGATTTGGAGCATAGAGCATACCCGCTGTACACCTCTTCCAAGGAACACTCCGCGTCACTGACCGAGCCGCGCCGGAGTGCTGGTAACCCCTGGCAAAACGGATTGTAGCGGATACTTCCACAGTGATTTTCCGGCCGCTAGCATCTCATTCTGTTAGGTTTCAAGTGTCTTACTCGAGAGTCACGAGACTGTCGCGAACTGCGAATACCTCGACGACAGCATTTCGCCTGGAGTCAAACGATATGGAGTGTTCCGTGGAAGAGGTGTATTATCATTTCGTCCAATCGGTCTCGTTATCGTCCAACCAGGAATCGAAATCGACCAGCATACGGTACTCGAAACTATCCGTGGAAGCGCATCGGACGGCGCGAGTAACATAATTGGAACTGGACGGTTCAGATGGAGTTGTGGCTTTGTTTCCTTTAGATAGCCATTATCAGCTTTAGTATGCAGCATGTGCTGTCTCGATATCATGCATGGAGAAAAACGTCCTAACCCTAACCGTCGAGTTAAACGACACCTTCCGTCGGTGCTGCGGCCGCGATCCCCTCTCCCCCTTCCTTGCAAGCGACGACAGCAGCGTGGGAGGCGAGCAGGAGAGCGTGGGAGCCGAGCAGAGCATAGACGACGACAAACTCCTGGGGGGAAGAGACGCGAGTGGGAGCGCAGCCGCGGCTACAGGGAACGAGGATGAATAGGAGGGAGCACGATTAGCCAGGGGGAGCGGCATCGTGCTCCTTGCATCGCTCTCGGAGAAACTCGCAGGAGCGGCATGATCATGGTCCTCCTGGTCCGCCTGGTCCTCCTTCAGTTCTGAACAAGCCTTCGTCAGCCTCTCCAGGTCAGGGCAGGAGGACGAGATCCCCAGGAGCGGCGTGTTTCGTCCCTGTGGGAATTCAGGGAGGTTGGAGGGCCCATGTGCCGGCGACTGTGGGGAGGAGGGGGGGAGTGCAGCCGCGGGGGCAACTGTGTGGGGAGGCGAGGCGAGGGGAGCGGTGGGGGGAGCGGTGGCAGCAACGGTGAGGGCAACTGTGAGGGGAGATCTGAGGGGAGCTCTGGGAGCAGGAGCGAGGGGAGGAGCGGGGAGGGCCACTGCTTGCAGGTGCTGCAGATCGGAGCACGACGCTGAGAGCATTCGCAGCAGCGGCCCTCTCTTGGGGTACCCGTTCAGACTCCGCCCGTCCTTGGGGTGACCTATCATCGCAGGCGACGAATCAGAGCGGGGCGGGAGTGTTGCCGCGGAGTGGAGAGCAGTGAGAGGAGGTGCGGGAGGAGACGCTTGCAGAGCCGAGGCTCGAGCAGCCGTTGATTGCAGGTGCTGCAGGTCGGAGCACGAGGAGGAGGACGAGACCACCCGCGGCGTGCCTCTCCTGCACAGACCCCCGCGGGGGTTCCCACTGTGCCCTCTGAGAGGCGCTGATTGGCTGGCAGAGCCTGCAGCTGCATACTCCGGACTGGGAAGACTGGGAATGGGACACGAGTAGATGGCGAACTCCGGTGAGCTGCCGAAGGCTGGACTGCCTTGAGCCATGCTGTCCCGCGTGCGGAAATCAGCAATGGAGTCCATACCATCGGCCAAGTGTGCAGTTCTGCTGCCACTCCGCGTCATCTTCCCAGTGAAGATTCCACCTGCTCCTGTCGTCGTCCCACTCACCCCTTCATCCGCTCCCGTCCTCGTCCCACTCAACGCCTCATCTGCCCCCATCCCCATTGTCGGTCCATCCGCGGCAGATTCAGGTGGCGCTTGCAGGGCGGGGCAGTCAAAGGGGCCCAGAGGGACACGCGGGCTGTCAGGTGACTCCGACCCGTCAGGTGACGGATTCGGGCCGCCCAGCGAGGCGGCATGCGCCTTGAGAGGAGTAGGACATACTGGCAATGGCTCGGCGGAGGGTTCGTCTGAAGCATCGGCTTCATGTGCGTCAACTCCCGCAATGTTAGCAGCAGCAGCCGCCAGCAAGCCGTCACTGAGAGACAAGGACCGACACATCCCCCTCCTGCTGCTCCCTGCTGATGTCACCGAGCCACGTGGCAGGCTTCCGCCGGTTCTCGCATGATCCTGGCTTCCAATACTGTTGCGGCGCGCACCCGACCCGGCGGCACCCAAGCTGTTGTGTCGCGCAGCCAACTCGTTACTGTCACCATCCCTCATTGTCACAACGCCGCTGCTGCTCCACCCCTTGAGGCGCCTCCCCGACCCCAGCAGATGCTTCCAGGAAGCACCCCACTTGGGGCTGCTGCTCTGAGACAAAGTTGTTTGCTGCTGCCCCTGCCCCGGCCCCGGCTTCGGCGTCAACGGGTCTGCAGCAGGCTCGCCCACTGCCTGGTCACCGCCAATCACAGAGGTTGGAGTGGTTGCAGTGCCCCCAGTGGTGGAGGTGGAGGGAGAAGCGGGAGGTGACACAGTTCGCTGCTCGTTTGACCCGCCGCTGCCAGGGGAGGCAGAATGCGCTGCCGCCACAGGGGGAGGCGCAGCAGCAGCAGCAGCAGCAGCAGCAGCATCAGGGTGGTCGTCGTGCGCCAGCAGCGCCCCCCACGCCTCGTCCATCTGCGCCTGCCGTTCCTTGGCCTCCGCCGCCCGCCGCTGGATCAGCTGCGCATGCGGGCTGCGCACGGGCGTGGGGGACGACGGCTGCCACCCAGCCGGGGGGTCCAGGGACAAAGATTGCCACCCAGGTGTGGGGTTGGGAGACGTTGACTGCCGCCCAGGCGTGGGGGTGGGAGACGAGGGTTGCCGTCCGAGTGCTGGGGTGGGGGAAGCTGGATGGCGCTGACACTTTGGCATGGCTGCCGCTGCAGGCACGTCAGTAGTTACAGGGGTCGTAGTGGCTCCTCTGGTCAATCCAGGTGAGATTGCAGCTGCAGGGGAGAGAGGAGGGCGAGGGTGAGGAGAGCGCGGAGGGCGCGGGGAGAGCCGGGCGGTTGGGTTGGTAGACGTGCCTTGACTTGACGACCGGCTCCCCGGTACCATGCTGTTAGCAGCAGGAGCAGCAGCGGCGGTGGCGGCGGTATGACGGGTGGAGGTGGATCGACTGCAATCGGCAAAGGAGAGGGATGGGGGGGGCGATGGGAGAAGGGGAGAGGTGAGGGAAGAATAGAGGACTTCAAGTGGGCAGGAGCAGCAGATCCAACAGGGAAGGCATTCGCAGCCAGTTAGTAGAAAGCTCCTGGAGTATGCAGGTAGACAGACGCCCTAGCGTAGTACAGTGCGTTGGCATTTTAATCAATACTACCAGAATCAGGCGAACAGGAACAGATGGTCAAGGTAGGTGAGGAAATCACCGTGATTACAAACTGAGATAGGGGTGACCATGGTGGTGTGCTGACGACACGTACCATGATGAAATGTGGCGAGGCTGGCCCCTGTATGCCACTTCAGCAGGAGACAACGATGAGGGAGAAGAGGAGGACGAAGACGGGAACGCGGACGACTTCCCACCAGATTCTGAGGAGGAAGAGGAGGTGGAGGAGGTGCGTTCCGTGTGTAGTTGAAGCTGAGCGGGAGGAAGGGCGGAGAGTGACAGGGACCGCCGCGAGGGGGGCAGACGAGCGGAGGAGCACTGCGCCGGGAAAGACGTGGAAGAGGAGAGCGTCAGAGCTGCTGTGGATGATGAGCCCACCGCGTTGTTTCTTGGTTCGTCTGCCGCCGCCGCCGCTGCCACCGTCGCCACCGCCGCCGCTGCCACCGCCGCCACTGCCGCCGCCGTAGATGAAGGCACGTCGTCGTTGTCGTCGCCGTCGCCGCCACCAACGGGGAAACCGGGGATGATTGAGACGTTCACGGAGAGGTTTGGCCGCCGCGATCGGTGGCGGGTTTGGCGCGAGTGCAGCATGATCATGATGGTTGGCTCAGCGGCGCGCTGAGGCTCAGATCCACTCTTGAGGCGGAAGACGAAGAGGAAGAGGGCTCCTCACCGGGCCCCTCGCTTAGTAGGCTTCTTGGGCTCAAAACAACAGCCTTTCCGCCAACGCCGCCCAAAGAAACCGAGTTAAGTTCGTAGGAGGAAAGGCGGAGGATGATGAGGGGAAGGGCGCCTTACTGGGGTCACGTTGGTTATGCTAGCAACACGGTGTTGCGCCCAGCCGAGAAGAAATGACACCCTGGGGGTGCTGGTGCTAAGCGATTTGCTCCTAGAAAGGTGATGAGTTCAACTCAGGCTGGATCAGGTTCAGGTTGTGCTTGCAACTGTCCGTGCTGAAATAGAAATCGGCTGTCTCGAGTCTCCGACTCCTCATTTGAAGCGACTGTACTGGGCCAAATTTGTTCCCTCCAACTAATCTGCGATACAGTATCGTCTCTCCCACGGCTGTCTCGAGTCTCGACTCGTTTGAGGGAGCGGCGAATCATTGGACTGTAGCGACGGTGGTCACCAGTGAGAGAGGTCCAGGAGGCATCATGCCCGCAGATGGTGGAAAGGGATGGGCGACGGTGATTGGTGGGCCTCATACGGCAGTCGTGACGCGAATGCCGTATGCAACTTGGAGTCCGCAGGACGAGAAGATCGTGTGGATGTGCGAAAAAGGCGAGAATTTTTTTGGTACACCTGACGTCCAGTAAATTACCCATTTATTAGATGCCACGTGTTCCTCTACAGACCCATTGGTTCGAACTCACGGGCAACGGCCCAATCGACACAGGCTCAAAGATTTGCACCAGTTACCACATCTGATGCGGAGATTTCCAAACGTGCAGACGGGACGTTCTCAAACCTTTTACTGTTGCCCGGGGAACGCAAAACAAACAACAATGGTTACCCGATTTAGCCAGGAAAATGCCAACGAGGTAACCAGACTACCCTATATTGGCACAATTCGCCCGTGAAAGTTATGTGCCCGACTCTGGAGCACCCGCTTGAAAAACGAAAGGGCCAAAAAAGGACTTCATGTGTATAGCAGTCGTGGCGTGGCGAGCAGCCGGACAGTGTTGTGTTCTGCGTGGCATGTGCTTGACCCAAGGGAGTGCAAGTGACCCGCGCGAGAAGGAAGCAAGGGACTTTTCCAGCGGGGGGAACACCAACTTAGAGAATTGGGTGCGAGAATTTGGGCGTGCCATTCGGTTTTCTCACATCTCGACAATCGGCGTCCCCCTTGTGTGCTACGCAAGAACGCGGACAATCTCTTGTGTTTACGTTTCATTGCTCTGTACAGCAGTGTAATAAAAAGCCGATTCTTCATCATCATCATTGTGCTTTTGCCTGGTCGGTGCGTTTACAGTTCTGTAGTGTAATACAGTAAAAAGCTTTACCAAAGGCATGCCTTCTCGAAGCGGTGGCAAACTTTTACAGTCCTGTACTGACGAGACGAACCGACGCAAGAGTGAAACAACACACATCCGACAGGACAACTTGACTTGACTAGAAGACCTAGCCCAGGTCCCCCAAAACAACCAATTGGGCCATGTCAACTAGCCGTCGTTGGGCTGCAGTAGGATCGGCCAGTGGTACACGTGGCCCGCGATAAATTTACAGCCTGACACTGTGCGGCAGAAGTTTTTTTGGATTACCCTAACCATTTCTGAGGGCGTACACAGTACCCCCTTGTTCCTACGGCCTAAGCTTCGCAGACTCCATGCGAGCAAGAACTTTGAGAGCTGCCTAAGCTGACGTCGGGTGTCCTTACTCTAGAAACACTAAATCGAGCAGTAAACCCAAGTTCAAATCGTTTTTCAAGGGTATCCGGATCTGGTATTCAGGAGCTGTTTTCGGGGGGTGGATACCCTCTCGGCGATACCCCCTATTTCATGAGTTAGCGGAGGTCATGATTGTTACCTCCCATACCGCAGAATGACCGATAACCGTCTTTGCTTTTGATTGCGGTTGGGTGAGATAAACTCTGTGGCAGAGGGTAAACAAAACGGTATACAAGGCTCGACGTAAATCGTCGGATGGGTTGCGTACGTCCACATTTCTTCTCTCACAATTTGAATTCGCATTTCCCCCTCCCCCCCCCCCCCCCCTTAAAAAAAAAAAAAAAAAAAAAAAAAAATTCACTGGGACTGTGCACTAGAAAAGTTTGTGAGTCAATACTAGAAAAGTGATTCTGTAAGTGAATATATTTTAAACGTGTAATTCTACGAACTATAGCAATAATATAGTTTTATATCAAATAAGTTATGTATTGCTGTATTGGAGTAGTAACTGTGCTGACATGTTTAAAAGTGGAGAATGGCACAGCGAGTAACTGTACTGACCTGTACAGCGGTTAGCTTTCTGGGGCAGAATGAATACACCCCTGCTAGGGTTTGTTGGTGCTTCTTGTTTCTGCTCGTCCTTCCCCCTTGCTCTTTCGTTTGTGCCTTGTTCTTGCTCATAGAGGTAGTCCCTCCCTGCTCACGCCTAGTACTTGCTCACACCTAGTCCTTGCTCCCACCCACCGTAGTCCTTGCTCACACTTAGTTCCTTGCTCATACCTAGTCCTAGCTCGAAACGGGCGCATTTCGCGATGGTCCGTATCGCGCTGACGCCTGGCGCGCTGGCGCGTTACGCACTGGCGCCGTGTGCGCAGGCGCCTTGCGCGCTGGCGCCGTGCGCGCAGGCGCCTTACGCGCTGGCGCGTTTCGCGCTGGCGCCGTGCGCGCTGACGCGTTTTGCGCAGGCGCGATGCGCGCAGACGCCTTGCACGCCAGCGCGGTCCGCGCTGGCACGGTGCACATTGACGCCTCGCGCGCTAACGCCATGTCTTTGGGGTCATGGCGCTGTGCAAGTCGTCGTGGAATGAAGTGTACGTGCGACAACACTGCACGTAAGCTCTAGTCCCCTCCGTTCCCCCCCCTTTGTCGTCCCCCCTCCGCCCCTCCCCCTTTTGCCGTCCCCCCTTCGTCCCTCCCCTTTTTGCCGTCCCACTTCCGTTCCCCCCCCTTTGTCATCCCACCTCCATTGCCCCTCTTCTTGTCGTCCCCCCTCGTTCCTCCCCCTTTGCCATCCCCCCTCCGTTCCTCCCCCTTTCCCGTCGCCCCTCCGTTCACCCCCCTTTGCCGTCCCCCCACCGTTCTCCCCCCTTGGCCGTCCCCCCAAAGTCCCTCCACCATTGCCGTCCCCCCTCCGTTCCCCCCCCTTTGTCGTCCCCCTCCGTTCCCCCCCTTTGTCGTCCCCCTCCGTCCCTCCCCCTTTGTCGTCCCCCCTCCATTCCCCCCCCTTTGCCGTCCCCCCTCCGTTCCCCCCCCTTTGCCGTCCCCCCTCGTTCCTCCCCCTTTGCCGTCCCCCCTCCGTTCCTCCCCCTTTGCCGTCGCCCCTCCGTTCCCCTCCCTTTGCCGTCCCCCTCCGTTCTCCCTCCTTTGCCGTCCCCCTCCGTCCCTCCCCCATTGCCGTCCCCCTCCGTTCCCCCCCTTTGTCGTCCCCCCTCCGTTCCTCCCCCTTTGCTGTCCCCCCTCCGTTCCTCCCCCTTTGCTGTCCCCCCTCCGTTCCTCCCCTTTGCTGTCCCCCCTCCGTTCCTCCCCCTTTGCTGTCCCTCCTCCGTTCCTCCACCTTTTCTGTCCCCCCTCCGTTCCTCCCCCTTTGCTGTCCCCCCTCCGTTCCTCCCCCTTTGCTGTCCCCCCTCCGTTCCTCCCCCTTTGCTGTCCCCCCTCCGTTCCTCCCCCTTTGCTGTCCCCCTCCGTTCCCCCCCCTTTCCGTCCCCCCTCCGTTCCTCCCCCTATGCCGTCCCCCCTCCGTTCCCCCCCTTTTTCTGTCCCCCCTCCGTTCCTCCCCCTTTGCTGTCCCCCCTCCGTCCCTCCCCCTTTGCTGTCCCCCCTCCGTTCCTCCCCCATTTCTGTCCCCCCTCCGTTCCTCCCCCTTTGCTGTCCCCCCTCCGTTCCTCCCCCTTTGCTGTCCCCCCTCCGTTCCTCCCCGTTTTCTGTCCCCCCTCCGTTCCTCCCCCTTTGCTGTCCCCCCTCCGTTCCTCCCCCTTTGCTGTCCCCCCTCCGTTCCTCCCCCTTTGCTGTCCCCCCTCCGTTCCTCCCCCATTGCTGTCCCCCTCCGTTCCTCCCCCTTTGCTGTCCCCCCTCCGTTCCTCCCCCTTTGCTGTACCCCCTCCGTTCCTCCCCCTTCGCTGTCCCCCCTCCGTTCCTCCCCCTTTGCTGTCCCCCCTCCGTTCCTCCCCCTTTGCTGTCCCCCCTCCGTTCCTCCCCGTTTTCTGTCCCCCCTCCGTTCCTCCCCCTTTGCTGTCACCCCTCCGTTCCTCCCCCTTTGCTGTCCCCCCTCCGCTCCTCCCCCTTTGCTGTCCCCCCTCCGTTCCTCCCCCATTGCTGTCCCCCCTCCGTTCCTCCCCCTTTCCTGTCCCCCCTCCGCTCCTCCCCCTTTGCTGTCCCCCCTCCGTTCCTCCCCCATTGCTGTCCCCCCTCCGTTCCTCCCCCTTTGCTGTCCCCCTCCGCTCCTCCCCCTTTGCTGTCCCCCCTCCGTTCCTCCCCCATTGCTGTCCCCCCTCCGTTCCCCCCCCTTTCCGTCCCCCCTCCGTTCCTCCCCCTATGCCGTCCCCCTCCGTTCCCCCCTTTTTCTGTCCCCCTCCGTTCCTCCCCCTTTGCTGTCCCCCCTCCGTCCCTCCCCCTTTGCTGTCCCCCCTCCGTTCCTCCCCCATTTCTGTCCCCCCTCCGTTCCTCCCCCTTTGCTGTCCCCCCTCCGTTCCTCCCCCTTTGCTGTCCCCCCTCCGTTCCTTCCCCTTTGCTGTCCCCCCTCCGTTCCTCCCCCATTGCTGTCCCCCCTCCGTTCCTCCCCCTTTGCTGTCCCCCCTCCGTTCCTCCCCCTTTGCTGTCCCCCCTCCGTTCCTCCCCCTTTGCTGTACCCCCTCCGTTCCTCCCCCTTCGCTGTCCCCCCTCCGTTCCTCCCCCTTTGCTGTCCCCCCTCCGTTCCTCCCCCTTTGCTGTACCCCCTCCGTTCCTCCCCCTTCGCTGTCCCCCTCCGTTCCTCCCCCTTTGCTGTCCCCCCTCCGTTCCTCCCCCTTTGCTGTCCCCCCTCCGTTCCTCCCCGTTTTCTGTCCCCCCTCCGTTCCTCCCCCTTTGCTGTCCCCCCTCCGTTCCTCCCCCTTTGCTGTCCCCCCTCCGCTCCTCCCCCTTTGCTGTCCCCCCTCCGTTCCTCCCCCATTGCTGTCCCCCCTCCGTTCCTCCCCCTTTGCTGTCCCCCCTCCGTTCCTCCCCCTTTGCTGTACCCCCTCCGTTCCTCCCCCTTCGCTGTCCCCCTCCGTTCCTCCCCCTTTGCTGTCCCCCTCCGTTCCTCCCCCTTTGCTGTCCCCCTCCGTTCCTCCCCGTTTTCTGTCCCCCTCCGTTCCTCCCCCTTTGCTGTCCCCCCTCCGTTCCTCCCCCTTTGCTGTCCCCCCTCCGTTCCTCCCCCTTTGCTGTCCCCCCTCCGTTCCTCCCCCATTGCTGTCCCCCCTCCGTTCCTCCCCCTTTGCTGTCCCCCCTCCGTTCCTCCCCCTTTGCTGTACCCCCTCCGTTCCTCCCCCTTCGCTGTCCCCCTCCGTTCCTCCCCCTTTGCTGTCCCCCCTCCGTTCCTCCCCCTTTGCTGTCCCCCCTCCGTTCCTCCCCCTTTGCTGTCCCCCCTCCGTTCCTCCCCCTTTGCTGTCCCCCCTCCGTTCCTCCCCCTTTTCTGTCCCCCCTCCGTTCCTCCCCCATTTCTGTCCCGCCTCCGTTCCTCCCCCTTTGCTGTCCCCCCTCCGTTCCTCCCCCTTTGCCTCTGTTCATACTCCCTCTGTTCTTACTGCCTCTGTTCTTACTCCCTCTGTTCTCACTCCCTCTGTTCATACTCCCTCTGTTCTTACTGCCTCTGTTCTTCCTCCCTCTGTTCTCACTCCCTCTGTTCTTACTCCCTCTGTTCTTACTTCCTCTTTTCTTCCTCCCTCTGTCCTTACTCCCTCTGTTCTCACTCCCTCTGTTCTCACTCCCTCTGTTCTTACTCCCTCTGTTCTTCCTTCCTCTGTTCTTCCTCCCTCTGTCCTTACTCCCTCTGTTCTTCCTCCCTCTGTTCTTCCTCCCTCTGTTCTTCCTCCCTCTGTTCTTCCTCCCTCTGTTCTTACTCCCTCTGTTCTAACTCCCTCTGTTATTACTCAGGGATTAGTTGTCATGGAAGAGTAGCAGCAGCGTAGGAAGGTCGCGTTAGCAAAAGACTGACAGTTAGAAAAAAACTTGTACCCTTAGAAATTAAGTGAACTCGAAAAAGTCTCTCAACCGGCCCTTGAATTGAATCAACAAGCAAACATGTTTCGGTGGTGGGGATCAGACCGACAACACCTTCATCAGTGCATGAGCTGGTAATGAAAAGAAACCTCCGAGCGAGGGGTCTTAAAAAGACACCCAAGCCTCGAGATCTACTCTGGGGAAATCCTACCCGGGCCCACAACTAGATAAGAAGTAAGCCAACAAAGCACTGCGGAAAAAACCTAGGTGCCCTGTCATTCTTCGGGTTTGTCCTCGGGAGCCTTGGAACCTGCAGGTGCCCTGTCATCCCTCTGCTCTTACTACCTCTGTTCTTACTCCCTCTGTTCTTCCTCCCTCTGTTCTAACTCCCTCTGTTATTACTCCCTCTGTTCTTACTACCTCTGGTCTTACTCCCTCTGTTCTTCCTCCCTCTGATCTTCCTCCCTCTGTTCTTCCTCCCTCTGTTCTTCCTCCCTCTGTTCTTACTCCCTCTGTCCTTACTCCCTCTGTTCTTCCTCCCTCTGTTCTTCCTCCCTCTGTTCTTCCTCCCTGTGTTCTTCCTCCATCTGTTCTTACTCCCTCTGTTCTAACTCCCTCTGTGATTACTCCCCCTGTTCTCACTCCCTCTGTTCTTTCTCCCTCTGTTCTTACTCCCTCTGTTCTTCCTCCCTCTGTTCTTCCTCCCTCTGTTCTTACTACCTCTGTTCTTACTCCTGTTCTTACTCCCTTTGTTCTAACTCCCTCTGTTATTACTCCCTCCGTTCTTCCTCCCTCTGTTCTTCCTCCCTCTGTTCTTCCTCCCTCTGTTCTTACTCCCTCTGTCCTTACTCCCTCTGTTCTTCCTCCCTCTGTCCTTACTCCCTCTGTTCTTCCTCCCCCTGTTCTTCCTCCCTCTGTTCTTCCTCCCTCTGTTCTTACTCCCTCTGTCCTTACTCCCTCTGTTCTTCCTCCCTCTGTTCTTCCTCCCTCTGTTCTTCCTCCCTGTGTTCTTCCTCCATCTGTTCTTACTCCCTCTGTTCTAACTCCCTCTGTGATTACTCCCCCTGTTCTCACTCCCTCTGTTCTTTCTCCCTCTGTTCTTGCTCCCTCTGTTCTTCCTCCCTCTGTTCTTCCTCCCTCTGTTCTTACTACCTCTGTTCTTACTCCTGTTCTTACTCCCTTTGTTCTAACTCCCTCTGTTATTACTCCCTCCGTTCTTCCTCCCTCTGTTCTTCCTCCCTCTGTTCTTCCTCCCTGTGTTCTTACCCCCCCTGTTCTTACTCCCCCTGTTCTCACTCCCTCTGTTCTTCCTCCCTCTGTTCTTACTCCCTCTGTTCTTCCTCCCTCTGTTCTTCCTCCCTCTGTTCTTCCTCCCTCTGTTCTTCCTCCCTCTGTTCTTCCTCCCTCTGTTCTTACTCCCTCTGTCCTTATTTCCTCTGTTCTTCCTCCCTCTGTTCTTCCTCCCTCTGTTCTTCCTCCCTGTGTTCTTCCTCCATCTGTTCTTACTCCCTCTGTTCTTCCTCCCTCTGTTCTTCCTCCCTCTGTTCTTCCTCCCTGTGTTCTTCCTCCATCTGTTCTTACTCCCTCTGTTCTAACTCCCTCTGTGATTACTCCCCCTGTTCTCACTCCCTCTGTTCTTTCTCCCTCTGTTCTTCCTCCCTCTGTTCTTCCTCCCTCTGTTCTTACTCCCTGTGTTCTTCCTCCCTCTGTTCTTCCTCCCTCTGTTCTTACGCCCTCTGTCCTTACTCCCTCTGTTCTTCCTCCTGTTCTTCCTCCCTGTATTCTTCCTCCCTCTGTTCTTACTCCCTCTGTTCTAAATCCCTCTGTTATTACTCCCCCTGTTCTCACTCCCTCTGTTCTTCCTCCCTCTGTTCTTACTCCCTCTGTTCTTCCTCCCCCTGTTCTTCCTCCCTCTGTTCTTATTACCTCTGTTCTTCCTCCCTCTGTTCGTACTCCCTCTGTTCTAACTCCCTCTGTTATTACTCCCTCTGTTCTTACTCTCTCTTTTCTTCCTCCCTCTGTTCTTACTCCCTCTGTTTTTCCTCCCTCTGTTATTCCTCCCTCTGTTCTTACTCCCTCTGTTCTTCCTCCCTCTGTTCTTCCTCCCACTGTTCTTACTCCCTCTGTTCTTCCTCCCTCTGTTCTTCCTCCCTCTGTTCCTCCTCCTTCTGTTCTTACTCTCTCTTTCCTTCCTCGCTCTGTTCTTACTCCCTCTGTTCTTCCTCCCCCTGTTCTTCCTCCCTCTGTTCTTACTCCCTCTGTTCTTCCTCCCTCAGTTCTTCCTCCCTCTGTTCCTCCTCCCTCTGTTCTTCCTCCCTCTGTTCTTACTCCCTCTGTTCTAACTCCCTCTGTTATTAGTCCCTCTGTTCTTACTCCTCTGTTCTTCCTCCCTGTGTTCTTCCTCCCTGTGTTCTTCCTCCCTCTGTTCTTACTCCCTCTGTTCTTACTACCTCTGTTCTTACTGCCTCTGTTCTTACTCCCTCTGCTCTAACTCCCTCTGCTCTTACTCCCTCTGTTATTACTCCCTCTGTTCTTCCTCCCTCTGTTCTTCCTCCCTCTGTTCTTACTCCCTCTGTTCTAACTCCCTCTGTTATTACTCCCTCTGTTTTTCCTCCCTCTGTTCTAACTCCCTCTGTTATTACTCCCTCTGTTTTTCCTCCCTCTTTTATTGCTCCCTCTGTTCTTACTCCCTCTGTTCTAACTCCCTCTGTTATTACTCCCTCTGTTCTTAGTCTCTCTTTTCTTCCTCCCTCTGTTCTTACTCCTGTTCTTCCTCCCTCTGTTCTTCCTCCCTCTGTTCTTCCTCCCTCTGTCCTTACTCCCTCTGTTCTTCCTCCCTCTGTTCTTCCTCCCTCTGTTTTTCTTCCCTGTGTTCTTACTCCCCCTGTTCTTACTCCTCCTGTTCTCACTCCCTCTGTTCTTCCTCCCTCTGTCCTTACTCCCTCTGTTCTTCTCCCTCTGTTCTTCCTCCCTCTGTTCTTCTTCCCTGTGTTCTTACTCCCCCTGTTCTTACTCCTCCTGTTCTCACTCCCTCTGTTCTTCCTCCCTCTGTTCTTACTCCACGTGTCCTTACTCCCTCTGTTCTTCCTCCCTCTGTCCTTACTCCCTCTGTTCTTCCTCCCTCTGTTCTTCCTCCCTCTGTTCTTCTTCCCTGTGTTCTTACTCCCCCTGTTCTTACTCCTCCTGTTCTCACTCCCTCTGTTCTTCCTCCCTCTGTTCTTACTCCACGTGTCCTTACTCCCTCTGTTCTTCCTCCCTCTGTCCTTACTCCCTCTGTTCTTCCTCCCTCTGTTCTTCGTCCCTCTGTTCTTCCTCCCTCGGTTCTTACAACCTCTGTTCTTCCTCCCTCTGTTCTTACTCCCTCTGTTCTAACTCCCTCTGTTATTACTCCCTCTGTTCTTACTCCCTCTGTCCTTACTCCCTCTGTTCTCCCTCCCTCTGTTCTTCCTCCCTCTGATCTTCCTCCCTCTGTTCTTACTCCCTCTGTTCTAACTCCCTCTGTTATTACTCCCTCTGTTCTTACTCAAGCGGTCCTTGTATTGATTAAAGACGTTGTACATACTAGGCATGTGGGCCAACTCCGGAGACTATGAAAGGTGCGTGCACGCAGGGGGTGGGTGGCTGGAAGACTAGAGCTCCCCGAGGGGCTCAGCTATGGCAAAACAGTCCCCTAGGCCCATTTCGGCTCCGGGAGCACCCACGGGGGGATTCTCCGCCGGGGCAGCCTCGTTGATTTTCCCGAGGTAGGCCAGGGCCTGCGCCCGCTGGAGTGTGACGGACCAGCGCTGGCGGAACTGATGCAGGAGCTTCGCCGCTTGGTAGGAGCTTGGGTCCGCGTTGAACAGCCGTCTAGCTCCCGTGTCCGCGAGGAGTTTCAGGAAGCTGGGGACCTCGGCGCAGGGGCAGCCATAGGTCTCCACGGCCAAGGGGAAGAAGCCGACATAAGGTGCGCGGTTACGGTAATGGTCAATCTTTTTATCGGCTTGTTCCCGGGCCATATAACCCCGCCCCTTGCGTGCGTGCGGGTCCCGGGTTCTGATGGGATCCGTGACGGTGACGTCACAGATCCACACGGCGCCGGAGACCCTGTCGCGCATGGCTAGGTCCGCCTTGTGACCGTCCACCGGACTGTAGATAGTGGTCTCTTTTGTGACAATGAGCCCCGCGTCCCGCGCCATACGGATGCACTCGTCGCGGAGTGCGTTGTGCGTGTCTGTCCGGCCATGGCCCGTGCCGCACCGGAAGAGGTGGTTGGGCAGCCGGGGGTCAAGTATCTCGGTCTCGTCGGCGCAGTTGCAATTGCGTGGGGCTGGGAAAGGGAGGCCGAGGCGGAAGGCGAGGGCGATGGCAAAGTGCGGAGGTCCGAGGCGGAGAGAAGGGAAGATGGGGATGGCGTGGAGCCAATCCCCTGCCCCGTAACCCGCCAGAGAGAACAGGCGCTGTGTGTGGCCAGAACTGGGGTTCAGCTCCATCTCGCGGGACGCCGTCACCTGGTCTTCATATCGGGCGGCGTGGACCTCAAGGGAGAGTCGGTGCTGGAGTGGGGTGCCAGAGGGCTCCTGGCGTTCGGAGCGCAGGAGTTCCAGTGCATGGGACGGCATGGCCGCCTCACACCTTGCCAGCCAGGTATGGAGGTGATGGGGGCCGGAGAAGGGGGGGGTGAGGGGGGGCAGTGCGGACGCCAGGGGCCCTTCGGCTGCGAATGGTAAGGCGGCGAGGAGGTGCTGTGCCTGGGCGACGCTGGTTAGGAAGGCCGCCGGGCCTTCGACGGCGGGGTCGGAGAGGCCCAGCCCGCCAAGCGAGGGTGGAAGCGAGGCCTGAGCCCAGGTGCGCACGCGTTCGGCTTCCTCCCGAGGAAGTTGGAGGTTGCATGCGCCGAGGAGGGTGTGAAAGAGCCCCCGACCCCACTCCGACCACTCGGAGTGTGGGAGGAAGTCCAGGGGCGTGGTGCGGGTCAAGTAGCTGACCCGCCGCGAGATGCAGCACGTAAGGAGGAGAGAGGCTGACTGGGGGTCCATGGTGGCGATGGTGGGGAGTGGCTCGGCCAGCGAGGCCAGCTGGGAACGGAGAAAAGCAGCTGAGCCCTCCGCTGTCCCGACAAAACTCCCCAGCACCCGTAGTCCCTCGTTGTGGAAGGGGACGTCCGGGGGAAGGGCGTCGGGTGGGGGAGGAGTGGGGGACCACGCCCCACACTTCGAGGGGTTATGTGTAAGGCCAATGGCCCCCACGGCGCCCGTGAAGTGGTGGAAGGCCGCTGTGCAGGCGGCCGGTTCTCCCACGAACGTTACGTCGTCCGCGTAGGCTAGACAGAGGACGTCAGGGTGGGCGGTGGCTGTTGATTGAAGCGCGGGGTGGATGGCGGCAGCAAAGAGCAAGGGACCCATGGGGTCCCCTTGTCGGACGCCCCGTGCACTCAGGAGTGGTGGGCTGGCGAACCCGTCATCGAGGTACAGGAGCGACGGGGTGCCGTACGAAAAACGGATAAATGGAAGCAGCGATCGAAGGGGCGAGCCGTCAATGGCGGTGATGATCGCCCCTCGCTCGACGCTGTTAAACGCGTTTGTGAGGTCCACTTGGACAATCACGGAGCGGGGACGTACGGAGGTGAAAGCCCGGGTGGCATGGATAATTGCCTCTCCGCCGCTCCGAATTGCAACGCCGAACTGAAGTGGCAGAAAATAATCTTGTGCGGGCTGGGTTGACGACATGAGGGCGGATTTGGCAGTAAGGCGGTGGAGACATTCCCCTATGGCGATGGGGCGTGTCCCGCCATCAGGTTTGCGAAGGGCTAACAGGCGGGACGCAGTTAACAACTCGCTGACCTCCTGGGGCAGGTTACCGGCGAGGAGCAGCTGCACAATTTCGTGCAGGAGCTTTGCGACGTGCGGATTGGTGAGCGAGGCGTCGCGCAGGTGTTCAAATGTCATCCCTGAAGGGCCGGCTCCGACCCCATTTTCACTTCGCGAAAGTAGGCGAATGAAATCGGCGAAGTCGAGCGCCGGCGGGGTGATGTCGTCCAGGGAGGGCCACGTGAGGTCCTCTGTCAACGGTCTCGGGTGTTTTGACTTCAGCGAGTCAAGGACCTCCGGGGTTGACTCGCTGACTGGGGTAGACTGGAGCGCCAGTAGGGCGCGGCGAAGGCTTCCTCGTCGCACCAGCCCCTCGGCTCGGGAGATTTTCCCGAGGTCGTCACGAACATGGCGAGGGGGCGCAGGCAGAGTGACAGCTGCCGCAGCTGACTGGTAGAGGGTGTCCCACTGGCCGGCGAGGAACTGCTGCAGACGGGTTTCCATCGCGGGCCAATTTGGGCGTTTGGGCGATGACATGCGAAGAGTTAGTCGTGGGAGAAAAAGTAACAAACGCCACCCCCCGATTGAAGTTGGATTTTTCGTGAGGAAAAGGAGGGGCGTCAGCAGGGCCAGCGCGAACAGCTGGCGAATAGAGGGGGGCAGTCGCCTTGAAAGAGGGGGCTGGCGACTATCGCACAGCACCGCGATGTCCCAACTGGCCAGTTGAGCAAATCGTGACGGATCGTGGGCCAGTTCTTCCGGGGATAGTTGCCTGGCTGCCTGGGAGGGACTGTCCAGCGGGCGGGCAGATTGTGATCCCATATGTCCGTGGCCCGTGGATCTGGGAGAGGGGTTCCGAATCTCACTCCCTACCCGCCTCGGTGCCCTTTCCCCGAGTGTGCCACTGGAATCGTCCGTGGTAGAATCCATGTGCGGTTCCTGGATATATGTACCGTCTCGTCTTTCTTCCTCATCAGTTGCCTCCCGCAGTCCCATGTCCCTTAAAGCCCGATCCGCAGCCTGCTGGAAGCCGTTCAGCGGGCCACCGTCGCGTGCCAGATCGCCTGTCCGTGCGCGCCCGCCCCCGTGCCCGCCACCACCACGGCCCCTGGTTCCGCCATCCCTGCCTCCGCCGCGTCCCCTCCGCGTGGCGCTGCCCCGTGGTGTGGAGCGTGGTGTAGGCGGGCGATCGCCCCGCTGCCTCGCTGTGCCCGCTCTTCGGCTTATCGGCGAGTCGGATGGCCGACCGGGCTGATCGCGCGCGAAGAGAGCGCTCCGTCGATCGCGAGAGTTCGGGGGAAAACGTCCTCCCCCGAGGTCGGTCGAGCTCCCCTCCCCTGTCTGACCGGCGGTGGGCACGCGGGCTCCCAGCGCCGTCCACGAGCGCGCCAGCGTCCCCCGATCGGGTGCGTGCGGCGACGCCGCCTCGGTTGGAAGGGCGGGCTGCGGTGGCAGAGGAACGCCAGTGTCCTCGTGCTGCGTTGTCGCCGCCTGCTGTATCACGTGCGGCGGGTCCACGCCCCCCCCCTGAGCTGCCGTCTCGGCCCCTCCCGCAACAGCAGCGTGCGCCAAATGGCCCCTTGGGGCGCGCTGGCACGCGTCGGGGGCGGAGGGGGAGTGCGCTGGAGAGGCGGCTGGCGCGGACCGCCGCAACGCTGGAGGGGATACTCGAGCGGGCCGGCGCTGGGCTGCTCCCAACGCCCCCGCAGCAGGAGCCCCCCCGACGGCTCCCCCTTCCCACGCAGCCTCCATCTCCTCCTCGAGTCCTTCCACCGCCCCTCCCCGTCCAGCCCGCTTCTGTTCTTACTCTCTCTTTTCTTCCTCCCTCTGTTCTTACTCCCTCTGTTCTTCCTCCCTCTGTTATTCCTCCCTCTGTTCTTACTTCCTCTGATCTTCCTCCCTCTGTTCTTCCTCCCTCTGTTCTTACTCCCTCTGTTCTCCCTCCCTCTGTTCTTCCTCCCTCTGTTCCTCCTCCTTCTGTTCTTACTCTCTCTGTTCTTACTCCCTCTGTTCTTACTCCCTCTGTTCTTCCTCCCCCTGTTCTTCCTCCCTCTGTTCTTACTCCCTCTGTTCTTCCTCCCTCAGTTCTTCCTCCCTCTGTTCTTCCTCCCTGTGCTCTTCCTCCCTCTGTTCTTACTCCCTCTGTTCTTACTACCTCTGTTCTTACTGCCTCTGTTCTTACTCCCTCTGCTCTAACTCCCTCTGTTATTACTCCCTCTGTTCTTCCTCCCTCTGTTCTTCCTCCCACTGTTCTTACTCCCTCTGTTCTTACTCCCTCTGTTCTTCCTCCCTCTGTCCTTACTCCCTCGATTCTTCCTCCCTTTGTTCTTGCTCCCTCTGTTCTTCCTCCCTCTGTTCTTCCTCCCTCTGTTCTTACGCGCTCTGTCCTTACTCCCTCTGTTCTTCCTCCTTCTGTTCTTCCTCCCTGTGTTCTTCCTCCCTCTGTTCTTACTCCCTCTGTTCTAAATCCCTCTGTTATTACTCCCCCTGTTCTCACTCCCTCTGTTCTTCCTCCCTCTGTTCTTACTCCCTCTGTTCTTCCTCCCCCTGTTCTTCCTCCCTCAGTTCTTACTACCTCTGTTCTTCCTCCCTCTGTTCGTACTCCCTCTTTTCTAACTCCCTCTGTTATTACTCCCTCTGTTCTTACTCTCTCTTTTCTTCCTCCCTCTGTTCTTACTCCCTCTGTTCTTACTCCCTCTGTTCTTCTTCCCTCTGTTCTTCCTCCCTCTGTTCTTCCTCCCTCTGTTCTTACTACCTCTGTTCTTACTCCCTCTGTTCTTACTCCCTCTGTTCTTACTCCCTCTGTTCTTCCTCCCTCTGTCCTTACTCCCTCTGTTCCTCCTCCCTCTGTTCTTCCTCCCTCTGTTCTTCCTCCCTCTGTCCTTACGCCCTTTTTCCTTACTCCCTCTGTTCTTCCTCCTTCTGTTCTTCCTCCCTCTGTTCTTCCTCCCTCTGTTCTTACTCCCTCTGTTCTAAATCCCTCTGTTATAACTCCCCCTGTTCTTACTCCCTCTGTTCTTCCTCCCTCTGTTCTTACTCCCTCTGTTCTTCCTCCCCCTGTTCTTCCTCCCTCTGTTCTTACTCCCTCTGTTCTTCCTCCCTCTGTTCTTCCTCCTTCTGTTCTTCCTCCCTCTGTTCTTCCTCCCTCTGTTCATACGCCCTCTGTCCTTACTCCCTCTGTTCTTCCTCCTGTTCTTCCTCCCTGTGTTCTTCCTCCCTCTGTTCTTACTCCCTCTGTTCTAAATCCCTCTGTTATTACTCCCCCTGTTCTCACTCCCTCTGTTATTCCTCCCTCTGTTCTTACTACCTCTGTTCTTCCTCCATCTGTTCTTACTCCCTCTGTTCTAAATCCCTCTGTTATTACTCCCTCTGTTCTTCCTCCCTCTGTTATTCCTCCCTCTGTTCTTCCTCCCTCTGTTCTTACTCCCTCTGTTCTTACTCCCTCTGTTCTTCCTCCCCCTGTTCTTCCTCCCTCTGTTCTTACTACCTCTGTTCTTCCTCCATCTGTTCTTACTCCCTCTGTTTTAAATCCCTCTGTTCTTACTCTCTCTTTTCTTCCTCCCTCTGTTCTTACTCCCTCTGTTCTTCCTCCCTCTGTTATTCCTCCGTCTGTTCTTACTCCCTCTGTACTTCCTCCCTCTGTTCTTACTCCCTCTGTTCTTCCTCCCCCTGTTCTTCCTCCCTCTGTTCTTACTACCTCTGTTCTTCCTCCCTCTGTTCTTACTCCCTCAGTTCTAAATCCCTCTGTTATTACTCCCTCTGTTCTTACTCTCTCTTTTCTTCCTCTCTCTGTTCTTACTCCCTCTGTTCTTCCTCCCTCTGTTATTCCTCCCTCTGTTCTTACTCCGTCTGTCCTTTCTCCCTCTGTTCTTCCTCCCTCTGTTCTTACTCCCTCTGTTCTTCCTCCCTCTGTTCTTCCTCCCCCTGTTCCTCCTCCTTCTGTTCTTACTCTCTCTTTTCTTCCTCGCTCTGTTCTTAGTCCTTCTGTTCTTCCTCCCCCTGTTCTTCCTCCCACTGTTCTTACTCGCTCTGTTCTTCCTCCCTCAGTTCTTCCTCCCTCTGTTCTTACTCCCTCTGCTCTAACTCCCTCTGTTATTACTCCCTCTGTTCTTCCTCCCTCTGTTCTTCCTCCCTCTGTTCTTACTCCCTCTGTTCTTACTCCCTCTGTTTTTCCTCCCTCTTTTCTTCCTCCCTCTGTTCTTACTCCCTCTGTTCTAACTACCTCTGTTATTACTCCCTCTGTTCTTACTCTCTCTTTTCTTCTTCCCTCTGTTCTTACTCCCTCTGTTCTTCCTCCCTCTGTTATTCCTCCCTCTGTTCTTACTCCCTCTGTTCTTCCTCCCTCTGTTCTTCCTCCTTCTGTTCTTCCTCCCTGGGTTCTTCCTCCCTCTGTTCTTACTCCCTCTGTTCTAAATCCCTCTGTTATTACTCCCCTTGTTCTCACTCCCTCTGTTCTTCCTCCCTCTGTTCTTACTCCCTCTGTTCTTCCTCCCCCTGTTCTTCCTCCCTCTGTTCTTACTACCTCTGTTCTTCCTCCCTCTGTTCGTACTCCCTCTTTTCTAACTCCCTCTGTTATTACTCCCTCTGTTCTTACTCTCTCTTTTCTTCCTCCCTCTGTTCTTACTCCCTCTGTTCTTCCTCCCTCTGTTATTCCTCCCTCTGTTCTTTCTCCCTCTGTTCTTCCTCCCTCTGTTCTTACTCCCTCTGTTCTTCCTCCCTCTGTTCTTCCTCCCTCTGTTCTTCCTCCTTCTGTTCTTCCTCCCTGGGTTCTTCCTCCCTCTGTTCGTACTCCCTCTGTTCTAAATCCCTCTGTTATTACTCCCCCTGTTCTCACTCCCTCTGTTCTTCCTCCCTCTGTTCTTACTCCCTCTGTTCTTCCTCCCCCTGTTCTTCCTCCCTCTGTTCTTACTACCTCTGTTCTTCCTCCCTCTGTTCTTACTCCCTCTGTTCTAAATCCCTCTGTTATTACTCCCTCTGTTCTTACTCTCTCTTTTCTTCCTCCCTCTGTTCTTACTCCCTCTGTTCTTCCTCCCTCTGTTATTCCTCCCTCTGTTCTTTCTCCCTCTGTTCTTCCTCCCTCTGTTCTTACTCCCTCTGTTCTTCCTCCCCCTGTTCCTCCTCCTTGTGTTCTTACTCTCTCTTTTCTTCCTCGCTCTGTTCTTAGTCCTTCTGTTCTTCCTCCCCCTGTTCTTCCTCCCACTGTTCTTACTCGCTCTGTTCTTCCTCCCTCAGTTCTTCCTCCCTCTGTTCTTACTCCCTCTGCTCTAACTCCCTCTGTTATTACTCCCTCTGTTCTTCCTCCCTCTGTTCTTCCTCCCTCTGTTCTTACTCCCTCTGTTCTTACTCCCTCTGTTTTTCCTCCCTCTTTTCTTCCTCCCTCTGTTCTTACTCCCTCTGTTCTAACTACCTCTGTTATTACTCCCTCTGTTCTTACTCTCTCTTTTCTTCTTCCCTCTGTTCTTACTCCCTCTGTTCTTCCTCCCTCTGTTATTCCTCCCTCTGTTCTTACTCCCTCTGTTCTTCCTCCCTCTGTTCTTCCTCCTTCTGTTCTTCCTCCCTGGGTTCTTCCTCCCTCTGTTCTTACTCCCTCTGTTCTAAATCCCTCTGTTATTACTCCCCTTGTTCTCACTCCCTCTGTTCTTCCTCCCTCTGTTCTTACTCCCTCTGTTCTTCCTCCCCCTGTTCTTCCTCCCTCTGTTCTTACTACCTCTGTTCTTCCTCCCTCTGTTCGTACTCCCTCTTTTCTAACTCCCTCTGTTATTACTCCCTCTGTTCTTACTCTCTCTTTTCTTCCTCCCTCTGTTCTTACTCCCTCTGTTCTTCCT